AAAAGCGAAAAAACTTCAAGATACAAACATGGCTCTTTTATTTTATGTTTGCTACACTTGATTCACATTTTCTGAAGTAATTATTAAATTGTAAAATTCATGATATCTTCTTTTATTGAGTGTCGTAGTTGATTTTTCGATTGCGACCGATGCATCACGCAGTTTCTCATCAGCTATTGTAATTGTCAGTATGTACGAGCTAGGTAATATGGCGATGGCTTGGGAGGGCGGAGGAGGTGGGTTCGGCTTGGAGAGAGGGCTCGAAAGACCTCCGGGTGGGTCGATAACAGGCGCCTCAGTCCTCATCTCACTGTGCACGAGCTACGTATTCTCCGCAGTGTTCTCCTCTTTAAAACACCGGTGAATCGTGCGAATTGAACTCTCTTCTTCCCGCGCGAATTCATCGTCATCTCCAAGAGGCTACGTCCTCGTCGTCGTCCGTCTCGTCGGCGTCGTCGTCATTGCCGTCGTCCTCGTCGTCGTCGTCAAAGTGCGTCATTCAGTACGCGCGCGCGACAAGATACGCCATTATTTCCGCGAACGTTCGCCAGGCGCGCTGACACATAGGAGAGAACATTCCGTACCTATATACTGGTTGACGGCAGCCCGACAAATACAAACAGTGAGGGAAGTGCGCGTCGCGCAAGGACGTCGGTCAAGTGTGCGTAAGAATGGCGAATCTGGACTCGGCGACGTATCCCGCGGTCACTAAGAACATTGATGAGGGCAATGAGGTTTGCAAGCGACCCGGCGCCGACGCCAACTCTGCATCGATGACCAACGGCAACCCGTGTTTCTGGAACATTCTGGACCCCCGTAAGATTCTTTTCACGATCAATTCCAAAAATATTTCGGAGCAATTATACCTAACTTACTATAGGTACTGTTCAATAACTAGATCGTGACGTATCCTTTTATTATATTCTATCTAAGCGATTTGGGATAAGAACGTGACATAATATTATATTTCACGCGGCGACTTCTTATCGAGAAGCAGAAAACGAAATTGGATAGCAGGTCATTTTAATCCTTATCGGCGCTTTCATGTCGGTGACCCGGGTTTCGCACTGCGCAGATGCTGCCCGATATCGGAGAATCTTCAATCGAAACTAGGTTATCGATCGGTCGCGACTACCTGCAAATAACATTTATGTCGATGTGTCTATCATTCGCCTTTTTATTGTATATCTACCTGCTCATTTTAGGTTGAAGTTCGTATTGTGGAGTATACTCATAAGAAAATTCTTATAGAGACGATGCTGATAGCTTTAAACAAAACAAACTTTAAAAAACAACCGTCAACATTTCAGTTTGACTAACAAGGAAAGAACGGTTAACATAATTATTATAGATCACTCTTAAATATAACAATTATATCTACGTATTTATTCTACTCGAAAAGATAGATAAATTCATTTATTAATTGAATATTTGTCAATTAAAAGGCTGGAATTACTTTTAGTTTTCTTACCTTCACCTTTCTTTATCTTTTTTCTAGATATCCTATCTCGTCACCGATTAAAGTTTAAAAAAAGCAACTTTTTCTATCCTCATTCACTGTCTATAAATTTTAATCAGGACCTGAGTTGCAATGATTTAAAGTAGAAAAATGCATTATCTAGGGCTTATCGGTTAACATTGACTTAATTGAATCTTTCCTTCCTCTAAATAAAAAAAATTATATTTTATTTTAATAAATTATAAATTTGTAAGCTTTTTAAACATGCCCCGCATTTACATTCAAATGAATATTAAAAGTTAATAAAAATGTTTGAATCGTAAAATACCTGGTGACTATTTTACATTGTGACTTGTATATTATTATTATTAATATAATCCATACTTTGATAATTTTACTGAATAATATTGTAGTATTGAATAGTATTATGATATGCTAATAAAATCTCTCGATATAATTCTCTATATTTTTATAATGCACGTTTGTTGGACGAGCGGGTGACATTCTGGTTTCGCAGTACGATAGTGCGGTACGCGTTATGATTTCTCGCAATTTGAAATAATTATCATCGTGACCTTGAATTATGTAACGAGATTCAATCGTGACGACGTGCATACAATCGACTTTCGAACTTTATGCTTAAGTCATCTCATCAGCTTCAGAGTATAGCAGTGACAACTAATTATTAAGAGTAAATTGCATAACTAAATTATCGTTACTTTTATTGGATTAACATGATGAAAAGATGATGATAATTTTATTATTCACTTGCTCTGTCTCATCCTGTCTCTGCACTTGAGCAAAGAAAATGCTTATTAATAACTTGTTTAAAAAAATATTATATCATTTTTTTGTAAAGAATCTTATCTTCTTTATTATATTATCGAACTTTATATAACTTTTGTTTTAATACTTTTTCCAATAAATATAAATATTTTAAGACAGGATTGTTGTAAACATTATTTATACATAATTGTGCGTGTTAAATTTATCAACTTAAAAAAATGAAAAAGAAAATAAAAGCTATTTTTGCAAATAAAGATAAGTACTTTACCGAATGTCAGATAACGCGCTGTACAAGGTTAATGATACGTAAATGCATATAATGGTGTATGGATAATACATTTAGAATATAATGTGTGTGTAATATACTCGGTAATATACTAGAAAGACGACGTTTACTAGCGATATAGTTTCGTTTTATATTGTAAAACTTAGCTTTGTCGATTTTGTATATTGTGTGTGCCTGTGGAAAAAGTGATGATTCCAAAGTTAAAAGTAAAAATGCATATAACGAGTTGTCGTTTCAAGGCAACAGGAGTCATATTGCGCCGCAGTGCACACACGATCGATTGCCGAAGCTTGGCTTCCAGGATTTGTGCGCGTGCTTATAATTTACTGGCATGTAGTTTCGAGATTGTTTCCCACGCGATATATAAAGGCTAGGATATATGTGACATTGAAGGAAATCATGTTGACGTTTCATTATCGAGCACTATACACTTCGCGATTTTCATCTGACGCATGAATCATTATCTGTCACTCGGATAATAGAGCATACTCTTCTAGTGCTTTGGTTTTGATCGACCAACTTTTTTTTATTTGATATATCTCTGTTTTACAGGCTATGATGATAATATATTCGGCGACTTACTTTTAAATATATTTTTCTAATATTTTCTACACTGCAAAAAATTTGCTTTAAATTTCCTAGTATTTCTAAATGACGCGAAGAAATCTTTTAAAGGACTCATATTTAAATCGCGTCCTTTTTGAACTGTATAATATTAATCTTATACAATATGAGGAAAAAACGTATATGTATCAACAGTGAGTGAAAGGGTATTGATTCCTTTACTCTTTTTCTACTATGTTGTGTACTTCGTTCATCTTTTGTCGCTCTATTGAGTAAAATAACGAGAATGGTTTCAAGTAGAGAATTATGATGACTCGTTGGTTGAATGAGTAGCTCGTGTTCAATATTAGCAAATCTATAGACTTTTGATATAAAGCAGCAAGTTTTTATAATAAATAGCGATAGATTATTAGGAAACATATATTTTTTATTACTAAATGAAATGCTAAACAAGTGTATAATATTTGACAAATTAATAATAAAATTTGTTTTTTCGAACCATTTTACAGTGTTTTGATAGTCGTTAGATAGTCGTTACAACTATTTTACTATAGGGGGTAATAATCTCTTATCCGTATCGATTTATTATATAATTATTAATAGAAACGTAACTTGAAAAATAAGCTGAAAGAACAGGTCGCGTTTAGGATAAATTATGATTTATTATATTTCTTACTTTTATTTAATTCTCTATTTCACGCAAAGAAATTTTATTTGGTTTTTTTTGCAATGAATGATTCCTCTTCCACAAAGAAATTAATAATTAACTTTCGCAAGTAATAATTTGCACAATCTTGAATGTTAGAAATGTTAGAAAGAAGCAATTTTCATTTCATTGATACTGTGTTGAATGCATTCTATAACTAGTTCTATAACTAGTAATCTAGTTTTCTGTCCGTGATCCTATCTCAAGAGCATTAACAGAATTACCCTACAATGCTTGTATAACTTCAATTGTCTCATCTTTTTTTTCCTATTAGTTCTAAGATTATACTAATTGAGAGCAAAATTTTATTAAAATGTAGTTTTTTTTGACATCAAATAAATTAAAAGAAAAATAATACCATATTATTGACAATAGAATATCTTCTGTAACTATTGTATTAATAAGTAAATGCTTACTTATAAGGGATAAAATACAATAAATCAGAAAGAAAAGCTCTAAATGATAAAGCTTTTCAGACGGAAGTAATATTTTTCATAATAGAATTATTTATTGGTTCGATGCTCATCAGCATCAAATATTATTAACACTTTCTAAGATGCCTGTAAGGATCAATATTATTAAATTGCTTGCAAATTTGATTTGAGATATTACTATTCTAATTCTGTTAAAATTGTGTTTCAAAACTGAACATTAAATTCGGCGTGTAGTTTGCAGGATTAAATATGAGTATACATTTATATGGAATTGAATTATTTAAGTACTAAAGATTCAGCTTAATCGTTTAGAGCCTTTGATTTATTGTGTATTCGTATTGGAATAATACTATATCTAATATTGTAAAATAAAATAATTGTAAATATTTTTTAAATTTATTTGATCAAGGAGACTTTATGTATCATAAAAAATTCCAATTCTATTATTTAAGTCATTTAAGATTTTACAACATCTTTTTGTTATTGAAACTTAATCTGTAGCAATTTGCATTTTGTACGTTAGAGCAGGCCTGTCCAATTTCATCTTCAGAACAAAAACGCAAAGAATTCAATGTAAGATTTTCATAAATTGTAAAGTGTTGATACGTTCAGACGCGTATCGATACTTTACAGTTTCCGAGATCTTACCCGTATTAATCTATCTTTGTGTGTTAATAGTTCTGCGTTTTAGCTCTAGAGCTCAAATTCGACAGGTCTGCATTAGAGTGAAATACAACACTAATATTCTATTTGTATTATTTACAGATGCATGGTTTAATCCTGAAAGACTGAATCCAAAAGGTAAGAAAATAGAGAAGTGTTGTTTTGTTTATTTGTAGGGTAAAATAGTGTATGTACGATTGATCGATTCATTTATAGATGTTTGCTAACACATTTATAATACTGAATATTTATAATACTCAATAATCTAAAATTGACTTGACGGTTCGATATTATCGAAATTATATTAATCCTTAAGAAGGTTCTCCAGTCATTTGACATAATATAGGAATAAAATAATATAGGAACTTGATGAAATTTTGAGAATAAGTTTGTTTGAAAAAAAGTCAAATTATGTCATCGTCAATTATATATATATTTCTATCAAAATATTTTAATTTTTTTATTAGGAATATTAAATACTATACACTAATAAAAGATAAGTTCTGATGAGAGAATAGATGAAAATCCAAAATATAATATATTGTAGTATTTATGCAGAATGATTATTGAGGATTGATACGCTTGGCCATCGAATTGAATTATGGAGAAGAAAGGTTGAATCTTTAATCTTATTTTGTGAAATCTGTATACGTCGCATTTTGCAGCTAAATAATATCAGGCTGTTTCTTAGCACATAGTTTCTGCGAAATATAAACAGAACGCGGATATTAAACTTAATACTAGTCAACTTGATTTAATATCTCGTATCAGTGTCATAAAAAAACTGATTAACTTCAAAAGCCAAGCATTCAATCAATATCGCGTCTGTTAGTGTTTCAAATTTTCCCTTAATCGGTTCGACATAGTCTAATAGAGTCTGTATACATCATAAAAAAAGAAATTGTTGCAGAATTACTTTAGATCAAGAAATATATTTTAAGCAACTATTCTGCATCATCATGTGATGAAATTGAAAGTTTGTTTAGGTGAGTTCATACAAACAAAATATGTAACTCTCAAAAGTGACTGTATGTTGAAAAGTAAAATTGATTTTAAAAAATGCAGTTTACTTATATTTTTTATCAAACTTTCAAAGTACCTACCTAAGAAAATTAATTGACAAAAAGGTATTTTGAACATTTTAAAAGTATATATTTATAAGTAAACGTTTTAATATTCTCTAAAATAGAAGGTATGTAACAAATATTCACTCACTCGTAAATAAGGCGTTCCGTAAAGTATCGCAGTTCAAGATACAATAACTAGTCCGACACGAATGCGATTTCAAATCGGCGGCATCCCTACCCGTTTATCGGACCCGCCGTTCTCGGACGCTACTAAATATAACGTCCAGCCAGCCTCTCGTTGATCTAGTGCCAGGTTTCCGAAGACTATCGTCGAGGTTTCCAAACGAACGGAGCAGTTCCCTCTGTTACGAAGTCATCAGAATCAGCACGTATTCTCAGTTCGCTTGTTGTTCTTCGATTCTTTTCTAACGTGTTTTTCTATAACGATTGTCTTCTTGTCAAGCCGATCGTTCAAATCCAGGCGGAAATTACAGGCTTTGGTGTAAACAATAATCAGTAGAATCGAATGTTCATAGAAAAAATGGTCATCACGAAGGAAGAATGTGAGTAACCATAATCCATGAAAACGATGATTATTTGACCACATGTATATCACTCGGGTTGTATAAATGCAAGAAGAAAGATTAAGGGCTCAGTAGTAATGAATAAGAAAGCAAATAAGCTATTAAAAAAAAAAAAACATTAATAGACAATACGAAACACATGTAATTAAAGTTGCGAAAAAAGATTGATTGGAGAGAGTAATAGACATTAAGGAATAAAAAAATAGCAATAATTTGGTGTCCAAATATACATAAGTCTATGTCGAACTATATCTGACATAAGATTATTTTGCATGTCGTCTAGAATTTTCTTTATATTTTACATAAACTTTGTACAAGTTGCTAAACTTGTTGAATAAGAAGTTTGAGAATCTCTGCATATTACATCACGTTACGTAGTCTTACGTATATTTTCTGTTTAATTTTATCGAGGTTTTTTAATGAATTATTTTGGCAAGAATCCAATCATCAATAATTGACATAAAGAAGCAATTAATATTTCAATTTAAGAGTTTGAAAAGCCGAATAGATGTTATGGTTCTCTGAGAGGAATCCATTAATAGATAGCTCGGATATTGCCAATATTTTCTTAATATCTTATTTTAACACTGTAAAATGCGATAAGTTTCTTTATCAGTTCTCTTTCCTATAAATATATGTATATTATTTTTTCCTATAACACACCTGTGCCATTCGACTATAAAGTTAAGTTTCAAAAAGCGGTTTTTTAAAAGTAACTTTTATACAAATACTATTCTTCCGATATTTTTTTTATAATAATTTGTAATTTTTATGTTAGGTAAAGATTTTTTTAGTACTAGAACATACAAATGTAAATTAACCTAATCGCAATTTAAGATAAATTTTTATGAAAAAGGAAAGTTATTATGAAAATAAAATTACTTGTAATTAATTGTGGTTATTTATGTATATAAAGCCATACAAAAATCTAAAACTCCACGTACAAATTCAAATTAAAAATAAAAACTATTAAATGGATAAAAAATGGCACAGTTAAATAATATAATTCTCATATTATATTAGAGAACCAGATTACTTATAAATTTTCTTAATCATTAAAATTTTGAAGCTAACAGATATTTTTAATTTCCATGTATATCTACATTTAAAAAAAAGATTTTCCTATATACAAAGTGTCCCGAGAATTTCTTCCAATCGCTTTTGTGTAGATAGAGCGGACTAAACTGAGTCGAACAATCCTCATAAAGCATTTGAGAAAAAAAGTATTAAAGATATTCGGCTATATCTTTAAAAATTAATATCTCGTTAACCATTGCGAAATTTGCAAAATGGTAGAGAACTTTTCGATTCAGCTTAGTCCGTTCTATCTGCACAAAAGCGATTGGAAGAAACTTTGGGACATACAATGTGTATATTTTTTTTTAATTATTAGTTTTCAAGAAAAAAGACATTGGAGTAGAAATAAATTGGAGTAGAAGTAAATTTTATTTAAACATGAAATATATATTTCAACAATAAATAATTTCGCATAATACAAAATATATAATATAAACATTTCGATTTTTATTAGAGCATCCTCAGTATTTGAAAATGTTAAATACACATATAAAATTACATTCTAATATGAATTGCGTCAATTATTTAATATGGTATTTAAATTAATTGATATAAACATCATTGGTGTATTAATTGTATAAAGGTCTATCGTAACGCTGCGATCATAAGCGATCATAGTCGTAAGAAAAAAAGATATCGCAAGGGGCTACGCAGAAAAAAGGAACAGAATAAAGAATTTCAACCTATCAGAAATCATGTATTGTGGAATAAACAGTGTGTATTCCATAGTACATGATTTCTGATAGGTTGAAATTCTTATTCTCTGTTCCTTTTATTCTGCGCAGCCCTAACAATGTTTATCTATATTGTTCGTAATGCAAATCGTAATGTCTTAATAACGAAATTATATGTATCACTTTGCATCATGGAGAATTAATTATTGTGTGTGTTGCAGTATTAATAATACAATTATTTTAGTAATCAAGTTTAGTAATTCAGTTTTGAAAAAAACTGTACCGAAAAGTGGGTTCGGCCTGTCAATCAATCTCGCGTTACTAATAGGTTTCATCTAACCTTATTTTGTATGTAAACACACTTTTCTCTGCACTGTGAGAAGACTGCATTACCATTGGCTATCGTAACGCCAGATAAGCATTGTAATTGAGTCAACTCTTACGACGAGCTTATGATAGCGATTACGATGAGCGTTACGATCATTGTAAAAAAACTTACGATTAGTTATAGCTGGACCTTAATACGTTGTAGACTAATTTTACTTATTGGTACAATGAAAATTCACACATATAGTTTCCTAAACTGTCTCCGTCAAAAATGTAATTCCTCTGTACGATATTGCATTTTCTCGATTACATCTTGGTGATAGATCCTCCTTTCCTCCCTCCTGCTACTCTTTTACACCTCCTCGACCTCTCTCTTCTAAATAACCATTCATTGACTCTCTACTTATCCTCTCTCATTCTTCTCTTTTCTTTTTGTAACTTTCTCAAACATTTACGTTTACTCCTATTACCGCTCTCTGCAGAATTCTTCAACATCCTCAAGCGCATTAAGCTCACCTCCGCCGATCCATGTGATCGCATGCTTCTTCTCTGCCTCTCCCAATATTTTAATCCTCTTTTATATATCCTTAATTTCTCTCCAATACTTTTTCTATCCACTGGAAACAATCTGTTGGGGGGAGGGTCCCCAATTCCTAAAACCCAATTCCATCCCTCTTTCTTTCCTCCTTTTGCTCTGTCTCCGTTTCCTTTTTCCTCTCCGAACTTTTTAAACAGATCTGTTTCAGGCAATTGAATGTTTATGTTTATTAACTCCATTAAATGCATACCCGACTCAATCCTGCTTTTTCGGCCTCTGTAACACAATCACAGATTGTTCTCCGCGGCTTTAACTCTGGTTTTCTAACGGCGTTTGTAATTGCTCAATTTTTTTCGATATTGTCGACTACTCGAGTTACTATTGTTCAAGTTCATGGCTTTAGTTTCTCCGCCCTCTTCCTTCTCCACTCCTTCCTTTTGTTAAATGCTCTTAGCGCATACCTTCTCTCTATCGCGTTCCTTCCGGTGTCCTTCAGGAGTCAGTCCTTGTTATTTATCTCCTTCATTCAGCCGGATGGTTCGACATTGTTTTTTGTCTCTGTCATTCTAATACTCTTCCATATCATCGCAGTTTCCTTCACCTCATCTCCGAACTGCACTCCATCGTTGCTCCTGATATTTAATACCAAAACTCTTTATCTTATCCTCTTCAACGCTTTGTTAAATTTTGCTCGCCTTCTCATACGTTGCAATTAAGTTGTTCAACTTTACCTCCTTCCATACAATCTTCTCCCACGCTATCTTCTTTTCGCTCAGTCGCGTCTTCTATTTCCATCAAATCGACTACGAGATTGCTTCTTGACGGTCGTACTACTCATTGGCTCAAGCGTCGCCTCTCAACCCCGTCTATT